TACAGCATTTCGTGCGTTCGCTATCTCTCCGCAACGCATTTTGTATTCCGCCTGCCACGAATGATGAGTGGTGTATGATGAGTGGTGTATGATGAGTGGTGTATGATGAGTGGTGTATGATGAGTGGTGTAGGATGAGTGGTGTATGATGAGTGGTGTATGATGAGTGGTGTCTGATGAGTGGTGTCTGATGAGTGGTGTATGATGAGTGGTGTATGATGAGTGGTGTATGATCAGTGGTGTATGATGAGTGGTGTATGATGAGTGGTGTATGATGAGTGGTGTATGATGAGTAGTGTATGATGAATGGTGTATGATGAGTGGTGTATGATGAGTGGTGTACGATGAGTGGTGTATGATGAGTGGTGTATGATGAGTGGTGTATGATGAGTGGTGTATGATGAGTGGTGTATGATGAGTGGTGTATGATGAGTGGTGGTTGAACAGCTGTTGAATGTCCGTAACACGGAAGTTTTGCACACTAAACTTCCTTTGACAATATATGCATATATATTTTTATACAGTATATGATACTCCCCCCCCCGGATTCTAGGTGTTCATAGATTTTACTGATATTTGCAGTGCTCTCACGTTTTTGGAAAGATCAGAGTCTTGATTTTGTTGGTCTGGGGGGTACCATATATATATACATATACACCGTGTTCTTGGAATCATGGAAGTAAACTGTTAGAATTCCAGATCTTTTAGAATAGTTTAACATATTCTCAGAAGTAAGAAGTAAGAGTGCACGGCACTCTTGTATGGAGCCTTGCTTCCTGTACTTAGGGAATTTCTGAATATTTTAGAATAGTTCAATCTTTTTGAGAAGTCAGAAGTAAGATTGCACAGAACTCTCCCACAAAATCTTACTTCTGAGGAAAAATAAATATTGTAAAATTGTTTGGAATTCTCAAAGTATTTAAGTACATATCTTCACTGTTTTTGGGGCAGCCGGAAATTATGCGAACGCTAGCCGTTCGGTCTCGCTTATTCTGGCAGAGGGGTGAGTGAATAGTTAAAAAGGCCTTGTCCTTCAAAGCTTTTAGTGTAGGGGCAATTACGTTTTGTTTTGTTTTTTGTCTTTCACGTCACTTGTGATGGCATAGCATAATCCCCATCGCACATACTGACTACATCTTGAAGGTTCTATATAAATCTAGCCTCCTTGGATGTTGTTTTCCATATCGCTTTGGTTTTATGGTTGGTGTTGCAA